AAGGTACAGAGAAGTGCCATTCATTCATTCATCAAATAAAAATATAGAGAAATAAATTATTTTAAAAATAAAATTATTATAGAGTTGAAAAGTACAAAAGTCAAAAGAGGGATGTGCGCTTTTGTTAGCATGCAAACAAATAGACAGGCATAAAGCTCACTTCCCTCAAGAAAATGTCCCATGCACCCTGAAAGAAGAACAGAGATTTAAAGTCTGGGCTAGAGTTTCTGTGTTAATTTCAGACTTATACCTGAACAGCAAAATGAACCTGCAAGTTCTCTCTGCATGTATAAAATAGTCTCTTCAATTGGCAATAAAAAAATCTCTTAATTTGTGTGCACCCTAGGGATAGCTAGTCTAGCCAGAAATTAGATTCCAGGTTATCTTAAATTTAACAGAGCTCCTGTTCTGATTGATTTATATAGATTAATAAGTACTTACATAATTCTAATGTAAGGAAAATAAAGAATCCAGAGGGAAGAAAGAAGCTGAACTTCTAATACTTTGAAGATGCTTGTCCTTTAAGAAAATCTATTCTCAAGAAATTGCTGACTTAGAAGCATTTTTATTCAAGAACCTAAGTCCACACAATCACAGGGAATCCTTGAAAATATAAAACTTTGGCTTAAAATCAGCTTTATGAAGAGCACAATGAGATATCATTTTATTTCACATGAAACACGATCATTATGTGGAGGGGGGAAGCAGACAAGTGTTGACAAGAATGTGGAGAAATCGGAACCCTCAAACGTTGCTGTTCAGTTGATTGGGAAAACACTTCATCAGTCCCTCAAAATGTTAACCATAGAGCTATTATATGACCTGCAATCCCACTCCTTGGTATATAAAGAAGAGATGTTCCCAAAAATTAGGGGCTTTTTACCATGGTTTTACATTTCACTTTGTGAAAGCTTCCTTATACTCGAAGAGGCTACTTTCTACACCCTGCCACAACTCCCTTAGTGCTACTATGCATCCGTATTTAACACTGGCTTGTGAAATTGTAATTTCCAGAAACAAATTTTTTAAAGGGTATTAAACAATGATTTCAGGTTGGGGGCAAAACAAGAACCATAAACTTCCTAATGATTATTGACTATTAGCAAACATTTCCAGAATAGTAATGCTACATGTAAGAACTTAAAATTCCATGCCCTTGAAAAACAATATAGCAAATTCCTAAAACAGAATTGGAATAAAAAATTTACAACTTTCTGAATCACCCAACATAAAAGTTTTTACAGTTTGATGTCTATGACAAAAACAACAAAATGAGAAGAGACACCTTGAGAAAGCTAAACTATTAAATTACCCAACATAAAAGTTTTTACAGTTTGATGTTTTACTACCCTCTATGACAAAAACAACAATATGAGAAGAGACACCTTGAGAAAGCTAAACTATTAAATTACTTAGAGAAAGTTCTCCCCTTGATCCACCCTAACATTTACTTATTGATATATTTATCTATAGTTATAAACTTCCCTCCTTAGGCCTATATTATATTTCTGGAAAGACTCTTTAATAGAACATTTTTGCAGAGAAATCATTGTCAAATCATCTAGAAAAATAAAAAGAGAACATGAAAGTGGGTCCAGGAAAACTTTTACAGATGCTTTTCTCAAAAGAATGAAGTTTGAAAACCACGATCACATACTTCATCATGCCATGGACTAAATATGGGTAACTCTGAGAGAAGATTTTTCATAATAAGAATAAATATTTAATGCAATCATTCAAACTATTTTTTAAAATGGTTATTATTCTACCGACTTGCTTCTCTTTAACCCTAGCAAGAGATTTTTTTTAAAAAAAATCATAAATTTGGTATTTAAGAGCAAAATCTGTAAGGGTAAAATTCTTTATGTTGTTAAGAGTCGATCATCCCATAAATAACAACTTATGATTTTTTTTAAAAAAAGTCCAGTTACAAACTACTCAAATGTCCTATCTCACCCCACCTTGTCTTTTATGAACTTTTTGTACAAAACTATACTTGCTTATCATAAATTTTGTATTTAAGAGCAAAATCTGTAAGAGTAAAATTCTTTATGTTGTTAAGAATCGATCATCCCATAAATAACAACTTATGATTTAAAAAAAAAGTCCAGTTACAAACTCCCCACTGTCCTATCTCACTCCACCTTGTCTTTTATGAACTTTTTGTACAAAACTATACTTGCTTCATCAATGCATCAGGTAACATGATTTCTAAAAGCAAACAGCAATTAAAAGGCATGAGGAGCCAGTTTTTAAAAAGCATGACTCATTAGTTACTATCTTGATATAAAAATGTATCTTTTACACTTGTTTAAAAAGTAGGTATATGCATCTTTCACAGTTTGAAAGAATAAGAAAACTAGGTAGGGTTCTATTTTCCATAGTATTGCTGATGTTTATTACAAAATAGTCTTACCTTATAAAGCCTGGCACTTCTTTGTGTGAAAATAAAAGTTATTTAGAAATGTAGCGCCTCGAACAGACTGTCAAACTACAGCAGGAAGGCCGGGGAGGGTGGTGGGGCAGGGTGGGTGGTAAGAGATCAACCAAAGGACTTGTATGCATGCATATAAGCATAACCAATGGACATAAGACACTGGAGGGTAGGGGAGGCCAGGGGATTAAAAAGGAGAAATATGTAATACTCTTTGTAATAATTTAAGCAATAAAAAATATTAAAAAAATAGCTTGAAAAAAAAAGAAATGTAGCAAGTTCATTTTTAGTTGCTGTATTTACAAATCAATCACCCTATCCCCTGTCCCCTCCCGCCCCCCAAAAAAAAACTACTAAAGATAATCATAACCAGTAAAGGACTGAATTTGGAGGATTCAATTCAGTTTGTTTAACAGCAAAGTGCTAATGTTATCAAAAGAGTTATCTAAATTCAATATTCTGCCACCAAATAGAGAGTAAAAAAGACAAAAGCAATTTAAACCAGCTGGAAGGACTTTCAATGAAGTAAATGATCATAATTTTACCTATGAGAGTGTGCACTTGTATAAAATAATCTCCTATTATAAGCTATTACCTATGTCAAATGCAAGGTGATTCTTTATGAGAGCCACTTTCTTTATATGTAAGTACGCAAGCTTCCAAGATAGTGTTAGATTTGTTTTAGGCTAAGGGTGGTTTTAAAATAAAACACTGCCAGGATGTAAAATATGTGATCAATAATACTTTTTGTTGGAGTTAATAAAAGGAAGAATTATGTTAGCTAAGCTTAGATCAGATCATATACACTAGTATTGTAGTCACATTTATTCAGCAATTTAAAACGAAGTAGAACTCATTGATCTTATATTGATCAAAAAGGAGATTGCTTTAGAAAAGTACCACTCTTCCCTTTCTACTCATACCAACACACACACACACACACACACACACACACACACACACACACACACACACCTCTGTAAATTATAATTTCTCTACCAAAAATGAAAGAGCTCAGAGAAATAGGGAAAGAACCACCAATTAAGTAATTTGTTTAATACTCAGTTATTTTAACAAAGGTAAGACAAGAGCTGGCTTCAGTGTTCTTGATGAGAAAGGCAATTCATTGAACAACCTCAATAGGTTAAAAGCTTTTTAATAAAATTATGACATATGACAAACTATTTAAAAATAAATGGTTGATATATGCATTCTAATCAAGAGAAGAAAATAACTAAAAGTGATGGTATTTTACAGGTATTTCCTCCTTATTTTTAGCCTGAAAACCACAAAGTTCACTTAAACTCTCATTGCCATAATAAGCACAAATAACCTACCATTATGGGAAGTGTTGTTAAAGGGACAATGAGTCTGGCCAGTCCTGCAAGAATAGCTGAAGTCTTAACACCAAGTGCACATAACACCAGCATTATTATTCACTTAAACTTTTACTAGTTAAAGGAATTAAAAATTATCTATTTTAAAGTGGACTCATCCAAAGTAATAATATTCATGACACCAAAGATATAACATTCTAATTATATTTTTTCTAACACAGTATGTTTTACATTAAATAAAAGCCCCCCAAATGATCTCATGTACCACTATTGGTAAAGACAAACACATTTAGTGAAAACAAACTAGGTAATTTTCAATCTGATTTCCTTTTCACAGAAAAGAACTGCTGAACATATACTAGCATCAAATTTTAAAACACACTTAATGTTCAATTTAATGTCATGCTTGCTACTTATGCACTGCAGTACATCATTTAAACTTGAAAACAGTTGAACAAAGGCAGCTGAGTTGATATATTGAACCCCAAATACTCACTGTCTCAGTCTCATATTGGGAATTCAATGAGCTATGGAGAAATTGTAATTTACACCAAATGAAAGTGTATAGTGTACACTCAAAGGACAGGCTGACTGAAGGTTCCACTTGGACCCTATCTTCCTGAGCACAGCCTCTGTGGTTTCTACAGCAGATAAGAGTTCAAAGTGACCTTTCACTCCCCTCGGGTGTGATTTCTATGCACGAGGGAGAAGAAAATGGTATAAAATGTGGTTTAATATGACAACTCTGCTACTTGTGTTCTATAGAAAAATCACTTTTTTGAGCTCTTGGTTTAAATTACATCCATTCTCTTCACTAAGTCAGTTCATTCCATTCCTTCGCAGCAAAGTTTCAAATGATCTACCTCTGCATCTACCGAGTGCTGAGAAAGGTCAAGTCCCTTAGACTTTATTGCTCCTGACAGCAGACGGAATCATCATCAAAAATCAGAGAGCTAAGAGGACATATAAGTTCATAATGGTTTAAATTATATTAAATATCACCATTCCGATGAATGGAAACTAATCAAACTTTACCTATTAATATAAACTCTGTAATGTTCCTAGATATTCATTTTATTATTTTTCCCCATGAGAACTGGGAATGCGCTCCTTCTAGCATATAACTTCTTTGTGAAATATAGTGATTAATAATACTAGGTGAAACATTCACTTAATAAAGTTCACAACATTATATAACAAATGATAGAAAAGAAATCATGGATTCTAACCACTTTGTCCTCCTTTGTGAAAGCATCCAAGGAAGCAGAATAAAGAAAGAAGAAAAAGAGGAAGAGAAAAACAAAAATAAGGCATATATTAATAAATAGATTTTTAAGAAAAACAATTATATGTCACTCTTAAGTGTTAAAACACAGGTACATATATTGAAAATTAAATGTTTACTCTTCCCTCCAAATAGTCATTGTTCAATCTTTCATTGAAAATGTACGTATATGGATCCTGCTATATGCTAGATACAAAAGTTGGGCACTATAATTTCTAAAGTTTTTAGAAATTGGATTATGAAATATACACTTAAAACATTCTTCAGAAAGAAAGCTTAATTCACTAACATAGTCTACCTATTATTAAAGGATACATTAAAATGCATTTGTATGAATAATTTTATAAAATTAGTATTAAAATATTTATAGTTACAAATTGAAAAAAATCTAAGAATGGGAAATGTTTATAATAAGTAAAAGTTAAAAAAATACTTTATTTTAACCATAAATTATTCCACAAGCAATATTTATTTGTAATCCACATTTCAACATTTAACTATCATACAAAAAAACAACTTTTTACATTTTTTGTCTTATGTTCAAGATTAAATAGTTTAAGTTGTGTGTGTTTTTTTTTTAAATTTTGTTCTTTTTAATATTTTTTCCAAAATTGGATTGGGTTTAGTAAAAATGGATGAACTACATTAGGACAGACTGTCTACTCTAAAGCATTCTCTCCTAGCTCAATTTTCTTTAAACACCTTTCCTTTTTAAAACATGAGTTTAACCCTAATAATTTTAATATATAAATGTTTAACTATATTTATATTAGTTTGCCTCAAACTTATAATAGGAAGTTAAACACACTCAGTCAGCATTAACAGTCAGCCGATTTACACCCTAAAATATCATTCCCAGGTCTGATTTGTGAGAATTCATTCCAAAACAGTATGTTTAAGAATACTAAATAAGGGAAAATTAACAAATAGATCTTGCACACTTTTTATGTGCCAGACAATATCTTAACTCAAGGTTGTTCTAGAAAGCCTTTAAGGTGGCATAGAACTTTTAGAAGTAAAAACGAAAACTTATGTGGCTGTAAGAATAAAACATAAAAATATACATTTCATAAAGAACCTAATTTTAACAATTTTAATTGAATTATCTTCCCAAGGCCACAGAGATAATAGTAGGCTCACGTTTTAAAGTATAATATCTATTTTACTGAATGCCTTAATTCTACTGGAAAAGATGTTAGAATACCCTACCTACTACTTAAGTACACTACCCAAAAATACAATGCTGATTGGGATGTTCAGTGTAATTTTAACAGTGATTTTCCAAATTAGGGAGATATCAAAAGTGCCTAAAGCACTCCAGTTATTTTTAATTATAACTTTGTATTACGTTAAAGTTTACACATGATTAGATAATATGTGAAATTCTTTAAACAAACAATGGGAATTATTTAGGTATATGATAATCTTCTTTAAATTTTATCTTTTTATTGAAAGTATTACAGATGCCCCCCTTTTTCCCCTATTGGCCCCTTGTACCCCACCCCCCCTTCCAGGCCTTCACCACACTGTTGTCTGTGATAATCTTAACTTCTACAATACATTGAAGATCTGCATCAAAGAAAACTCATACAGACATCCCTATAAATAATTCCAGTGTATCAACATTTGGAATATAATAAAGTACAACATTAAAATGTGTTCTAAACTAAATACTTATTAGAATTAATCTAGTACTTCACAAAGTATAATATTAAGTCCCTTATATTAGCATCTTATTGCCTCAAAATTTTGAATATATTAAAAGCACTGGCATAATGGAAGAGTAGCTGTTATTTAAGGCAACTAAGGAAACTACATCAAGTTGAGACTATAGCTCATAGAGAACAAATAAGTTTTAAAAGGCACATTACAATGCTTTAACATACTCTAAAAATTTGAATAATTTCCATGAGATAAAATAAGCACTATATTTCTTTATCATGATATGAAATTATATTACATTTAATGTCATACAGTTTACTTTGCATTTTACCTTCATTCAATCTGAAACCAATGTTGCAGAAACTAAAGGGGGTTTTTGTTTTATTTTGTTTTTTACAAGAACTGGCCATACCTTTCAAGTTTTACAACTCATGATACTATATCTACGTTTACTGCATTCTTCAGAAAATAAATTTACTTCTACAGATAAATCAGTTGATTCTGAATGGGAATAATTTATTAAGATACAACATATAGCCCTGGCCAGTTTGGCTTGGTGGATTGAGCTTCGTCCTGCAGACTAAAGGGTCCCAGGTTCGATTCCAGTCAAGGGCATGTGCCCAGGTTGCGGGCTCAATCCCCAGTATGGGGCGAGCAGGAGGCAGCTGATGGATGATTCTCTCTCATCAATGATGTTTTTCTCTCTCTCTCCCTCTCCCTTCCTCTCTGAAATAAATAAAAATATATTTTTTAAAAAGATACAACATATAGAAACTATCTTTTTATGAATTATTTTCATCACTACTGCACTACTGTGAATCTTATGAAAAACAAAAGAACGAAATGGGGAGGGGCATATTCACGTGTACATTTATGCACGCGTTTGCTCTCTAACACGTAAGCATTATTTCTGCTTGGGAAGCTACAGATTGGTATCCACATTCAACAATTCTCTCACGCCCCCAATATACTCACATTGTTCGATCGCAGAGACACGCGGCCTCCGCAGCGGGCGCAGAATTTGGTGCGGCAGTAGGAGCAGAGGTGGCCGCACCCATCAGCAAACTTTGTTTTGTGACAGATGCCACAAGTCGGAGCATCGTCTTTGTGCTCGCCCTGGTAACGCCGTGCTTCTTCCCCTATTTTTCTCACTTGTTCCTTATAGCTTTCAAATTGTTGATGCAATCTCCTGGCAAAAGAGAGAATGGTAGCAAACTAAATAAATGATGGAAGACAAAAAGAAATTTTTTTCCAAACAGAATAGATTCATAGCTACTTGAACTAAAGCAAAACATACCAAGCAACTTCTCCACTAATCTTACCTACAAAGGTAAGAAATGTATTAGCATGTATTCTATCAGTCCCAATTTTACCTGCACTGAACCACACAGATGTAAGCAGACTCTATAGAATCAATCTTTGTTTCCAACAATGGAATTCATGTACCAGCTCCATGCCTCTGCCTCTTTTAGACAGATGGCTTTCAAAGTATTTCAGCTAGGTCTCAACACCTTCCACTCCTGTGTGTATATAATCGAAGCAAAAGTTATGCAAAATACTCAGCCTAATAACCATATGTGATGTTCTCTGATATTTTCTATCTTACTCTAAATTTAATACTGATTACTATCTTTCAAAAGTGTCACAGTAAATTGATTCCATAATCCATTATTTATGTATGATCCATACTTGGGGGGGGGAAACCTTTTAAACTATGTTGCTAGGCAATCTGTGTTCTACAACGTATCTTCCTTCACCCCTACTTCCTAGAAACTGTGTATTTTGCTTCAAGTATTTGATAAAATATACAGAATGATAGCTTATACATTATATTTTAACTTGGTGGTTCTTCCAAGTCATATTAAATGTTGTGAACCACACCTTATAAATATTCAGATTTTTTACATGCCCCACATTTACAGTTAATATGATTCAAGTCCCCTCCCCTCCCTCCACATCCATTCAAATCCCTCAATCTTAAATCGTTACAAGGAGAAACCATTAGCTGTTCTGTATAGAACATTAGGATATCCAGGGACTCTCCAGTGAAAGGATGCCTTAGTTTTGTAAATGAGAACTGAGAGAGTCATCCTAAGCCCAGCCAGCAGTCATTGGCTATTACACCAAAAGTGAAGCTCCTGGGAAGTGGCTAATCAAATGTATCTGAGTATCAGAGCTCGCTTGCTGGGTGTGAGTATTCCCTAGGACACGGAGCACACACATGCTCTTGTTCACTCAGGCAGTTAGCTTGACCCACCACATCTAACATAGCCGTGGGGAACTGGTACTCCCTGGAAACAGAACCAAGTAAGTTGAGTCCAAGCACTGCACTTGAAGTACTGGGATTTCATTATGTTTTCCTTTTGACATCAATAGCTTTTGAGCAGAAATTTACTGATTACTTTTAAAGTTATGAAATACCTTTCCTGCTTTGCCCATTGACATTTTTTTCCTAGTTAATTCCCATAATTAAAGCACATAAAGTACTTTAGAATCTGAAACCTTTTCAACTTAAAGACTAGTTAATTTCAGTTTATAGAAGGGGATATAGTTATGTTATTTGATAAATGCAAGAATACTTGATCAATTTATTGAAGTTATTGGATACATTACATTAAAAAAAGGCATAGCAGAGTAAAAAAGAACTGTGGATCTATTATTTAAAAAGTAACCATACAAAATAGCACTGAAAATCTTAAAACTTGTATTAAAGAAAATAATTATTAAGGAGTAGGAGTAAGAAAGTACCTCAAATCAAAGAAACAGAAATAGACTTTAAACGTAGAGGGAGTCCATGAATTAGTATTTATTGTGAGAACCACCAAATCAAATCCACTTAAGAAAATACAAAAGAGGAGAAAGCTAAACTAAAGAAAAAGCTTCCCTATAAACTTATTTTGTATTACAGAACATAATTTAGTATGGGTGTAGGCAAAATATATGGTAAGAGGCCAGGTGGTAAATATTTTAGAACTTGCTGGCCACATAATTTCTGTTGCAATTTCTCATCTCTACTATTATAGCATAGAAATACGCATAATGATAAATGTGACTAAATTCCAATAAAACTTTATTTCCAAAACAGATGATAGGCCATTTGACAACTCCTGATAGTATGCTTTATACTAAGATATAATGGTTTGAAATTAAAAGTCTCTCTCTTTTTTTTAATTCAAACAAGACTTTTATCCATACCATAAGGCCCAATTAAAAGGCCATCTATTTCAGGAAACATTTATACAATATATGTGTGCAGGACACTGACCACTGAGATGAAACCTACCTGTACTGCCATCTCATAGCATTTCACTTGGTTATTCATAAGCTACTTCATCTTTGTTTTTGTTTACCATATATTATTACTATTTCTATAAATGACATCTCTCTCTACCAAACAGTAAATTGAATTAGAAATGAATAGTTTGGCAAGATAGTGAAGACATATACCTCCTTAACAGTAGCCAATGCATATTTGCTTAATGGAAAGATTATATATATTTTTCTTAGTCCATTTTAAGAAAAAACAAAAAATAAATTTACAAACAAGTTCATGGTAAGGACTAAATATCCTGAAAAATTCCATTGCCACACATGCTGGAAAATATTTAAAATAATACTTTTTAAATTCGTGTTTGAGTTGGAGAGAAAGTATGGAGATCCTCAGAGGAGAAAAATGAAATAGGAGCAGTAATTCAGCTCTGACACAAACAGCTGCCCTAGCAACATGTACGGAGTCTCTGTGACCAAGAACGTGTTTTAAGCCTCAAAGGAGAAAAATGAAATAGGAGCAGTAATTCAGAGAGGTAACACAGCTCTGACACAAACAGCTGCCCTAGCTACATGTACGGAGTCTCTGTGACCAAGAACGTGTTTTAACTTTTGTACAAGTGACTGAAAACAAAAATTTAGTTATGGAGCCACCAAAAGTATCTGAAATAGAGCATATAATATCCAAACTAGAAGAGGGAAAAACATGGAATGAGAAAAAAAGCATTCCAAAGAAGACAAAAAATTGAAACAAACAAACATATATAAAGCAGGACAATTAGAAGTGATGGTATGCGATAGCAGACACAATCCAGCACATCAGGAATCACAGTGACTACAGCATTATAGAAATATAGAGATCATCACATTACATTTTTTAAAATTTATTTTTAGTGGCAGACACAATCCAGCACATCAGGAATCGCAGTGACTACAGCGTTGAAACGCAGAGATCATCACATTACATTTTTTAAAATTTATTTTTATTGTTGAGAGTATTACAGATGTCACCCATTTTCCCCCTTTGCCCCTCTCCACCTGGATCCCACCTCACCCCAGGCCTTTTCCACGCTATTGTCTGTGTCCTTGGACTATGCATATATGCACATACCAGTAAGTTCTTTGGTTAATCTTTTCCGTGCCCCCTGCCCCTTCCTTCTGAAATGTGTCAGTCTGTCCCATGCTTCCATATCTCTGGACCTATTTTGTTCATCAGTTTATTTTGTTCATTAGATTCCACATAAATGAGATCCTATGATATTTGTCTTTTTTTGGCCAGTGCTCATCAGTAGATGAATGGATAAAAAAGCTGTGGTACATATACACACCCCTGCCCCTCCTTCTGAAATGTGTCAGTCTGTCCCATGCTTCCATATCTCTGGACCTATTTTGTTCATCAGTTTATTTTGTTCATTAGATTCCACATAAATGAGATCCTATGATATTTGTCTTTTTTTGGCCAGTGCTCATCAGTAGATGAATGGATAAAAAAGCTGTGGTACATATACACAATGGAATACTATGCAGTAATAAAGAAGGATCTCTTACCATTTGAGATAGCATGAATGGACCAGGAGATTATTATGCTAAGTAAAATAAGCCAGTCAGAGAAAGACAAATATTACATCACGTTAGATTTTTAAAAATCAGTTACATACAGTATAGAGGAGCTATAACCAAACTATACAGGCACAGAATGTTTTAAATAAGTGATTGAAAAAATATATCCCAGGGAAAGATTAACAAAAACAATACCAAACATACAATATTTAAAGCAAAAGCTTTACTATAGATAAAGAGGTTAACCTACTATTTAAAAAGTATTAATTTCATATTGTACATGACAATTCTAAACTTGAGTGCATATAATAACATACAAAGTAAAAAAAAAAATGATAGAACCACTAGGACAGAGAAATTCATCTTCATTGTAGGATATTTTACTCACCTCTCTCTCTGTAATCAACAGACCAGACATATAAAATATAAATAATGATAGAGGAGAGTTGAACAATACAATAAAAAAATTTAGATATGTATATATGTGCCCAGGAGACTAAACTTGTTAAACTTTATGAGTACTATATTTATTGTACTCACAAGGGAGAATACATATTGTTTTCATGCTGATATGAAATTTTTCCAAGCCTAAGCTTCAAAAGTATTAGAAATTTTTTATTCCTTTTTTTTCTTCAGTATATTTTATTGATTTTTACAGAGAGGAAGGGAGAGGGATAAAGAGTTAGAAACATCGATGAGAGAGAAACATCGATCAGCTGCCTCCTGCACACCCCCCACTGGGGATGTGTCTGCAACCAAGGCACATGCCCTTGACCGGAACCGAACCTGGGACCCTTCAGTCCGCAGGCCAACGCTCTATCCACTGAGCCAAACCAGTCAGGGCAGAAATGCTTTATTTCTTAAGCTGAATGATGGGTGCATGAGGTATGCTTTATTCTCTTCTTTGTCCTCTTTGTATGTATGAAACATTTCATATTAAAAAGAAAAAATTTAGTTCTATTTCATCAAATATCACTAACAAACGAGTGCCATAAGAATTGAAAATAATGAATGTATGTGACAACATTATTATGTATAAAATAAAGTTGACCATTTATGCCATCTAATTAATTTTATGAGGATCTGCATATACTAGTATTTGAACAAATAATAACTGTATGAGAAAGATAATCTTATTCCCATTTTATTGATGAGGAAACTACTTTTTGTCGTGGACTTGCTTCTCCTATTCTATTATTATTATGAATATATTATCTTAAATTTACATTCTTCAGATCTTACACTGAGTTCACATAAAGTATGACAATAAATATGGATGTGACATGAAAATAAAAGGTTTTTTGGACTCAGGAAAGTGTTATCTGTCAGATAATGCCAATTTCTGATCATGGCTAATGA